ATTTTATGATTGACACAGGAGCGCAATTTTCGGTGCTGACCAAGCCGTTAAAAGCAAAAAGCAACCAAGCAGTAACAATCGTGGGGGCCACTGGCAACAGGGTCCTTAAACCGTTTTTGCAACCTCAAGAATGCCAGATTGGTGGGAAAACCCTTACACATCAATTTCTGTATGTGCCTGAATGCCCCATTCCCTTGCTGGGACGTGACTTTCTGTCAAAAATTCAAGCCCAAATTACGTTCACCCCAAAAGGGGCAGAGATGAAATTACCCCAGGCAGCTACAGGGATTGTTACAGTAGAGGTCCCTAAAGAACAGGCCTGGAGAATGATGATGGCTTTATCAGATAAGGACCCAAAGGGAAATATCACAGATTCCTAAAAATCTGAGAGTCCCACCTGGAGTATGGGCAGAGGACAATCCACCAGGCATGGCAAAGAATATAGCACCATTCATAATAACCCTAAAGCCTGGGGCAAAGCCAATAGCAATTCGGCAGTACCCTATCCCAAGACAAACAGCAGAGGGAATGCAGATGCACATAGACAAGTTTTTGCAATATGGACTTTTGGTAAAGTGCCAGTCAAGCTGGAATTCTCCACTTTTTCCAGTTCGTAAGCCTAATTCTGATCAGTTTCGCCTAGTCCAAGATCTGAAAAGGATAAATAATTTAATTCAGACTCTGCATCCCTGCGTGCCCAATCCTTATAATCTTTTAGGATTAATTCCATCAGAGGCAACAGTGTTTACAGTGTTGGACTTAAAAGATGCATTTTTCTGCTGTCGTGTTGCGTCTCAGAGTCAGCCAATTTTCGCATTTCAATGGGAGGATCCTTACAATGGGACAAAAAGCCAGTTAACCTGGACACGTCTGCCACAAGGGTTCAAAAATTCGCCTACACTTTTTGGAACAGTCCTAGCCCAGGATTTGTCTAAATTCCAATCAGTACCTGGAAAAACGGTTCTTCTTCAATTCTTGGATGACTTGATCATAAGTTGTGATAGCTATGAGACCTGTAAAAAGGCCATGGAGGATTTACTTTATCTCCTTTGGGAGGCAGGATACAAGGAGTCTCGGAAAAAGGCTCAGATTTGCCAAGAGACAGTGAAATACTTGGGCTTTCACATTTCCCACCAGCAGAGGGCGTTGGGATCTGAAAGAAAGGAAGCCATTTGTATTATTAAGGAACCCACAAGCCGCTGGCAATTACGAGGGTTTTGGGGGGCAGCCAGCTTTTGCCGCATTTGGATCCCTGATTTTAGCACCCTAGCAAAGCCTCTTTATGAAAGCACAAAGGGAAGAGAGAATGCTCATTTTGAGTGGCATGCAGAGCAAAGGAAAGCCTTCAATGCATTAAAATCTAAACTGATTTAGCCTTGCCAAATCCAGATAGAGCCTTCTATCTTTTTGTTCATGGAAAAAACGGGGTGGCAGCAGGTGTCTTGACTCAGAGATTGGGAACCTGGAAGAGACCTGTAGCCTATTTGTCAGAACAGCTGGACGCAGTGGCCAAAGGATGGCCACCTTGTTTGAGAGCAGTAGCGGCCACAGCCTTGTTGGTTAAAAAGGCATTTAAATTCACCTTCGGACAGGAAATTTATGTGAATGTGCCTCATGCTGTTTTAACGTTAATGGAATACAAAGGAAGCTATTGGCTTTCCAACGAGCGCATGGCCAGGTACCAAGGGCTTTTGTGTGGTAACCCACAAGTACATTTGCAAGTTGTAAACACCCTGAACCCCGCCTCATTGCTACCCCTTCCCAAGTCAGTGGACCATGAGCCTCATGATTGCATTCAAGTAATGGACACGATTTATTCTAGCCGTCCAGATTTGCAGGATGAGCCTTTAAAAGATCCAAATGTAGAATATTTCACAGATGGAAGCAGCTTCATAAGGGAAGGGCAAAGGAGGGCTGTATATTCTGTGGTTACCCTCAATGACGTCATCGAAGCACGGGCTCTGCCACTTTCAACCTCAGTGCAGAAAGCAGAACTTGTGGCTCTTACCAGAGCTCTTCAGCTGGCAGCAGGCTGCCGCGTAAATATTTATACAGACTCAAAGTTTGCTTTTTTAACCTTACATGCCCATGGAGCCCTGTGGAAGGAAAAGGGGCTCACAGGAGCAAAGGGAAAAGCTCTGAAACATGGCTTGGAATTAGAGGCTCTTTTGGAAGCCATGTGGGCTCCGAAAAAAGTTGCTGTCATACATTGCCGAGGCCACAGCAAAGAAACCACAAAAACCGCAAAGGGAAATCAGTTTGCAGATTTAGCTGCGAAATGGGCTGCTTTATTACCACCGCCCCCTGCTTCTATAACCGCTTCTCTTTTTCCTACAGCAGTTGATGTAGATCAAATAAAACCCATTTACACAGAGGCAGAAGCAAAATGGGACCTACAAGAAGGGGGGTACAGAATTCCTCTACAGGATGGATGATTTATCCTACCAGACCAGCGAGTTTTTGTCCCAGAAGCCTTAGGCAGAGACATAGTAAAACAATATCATGAGTCCACTCACTATGGGGCCACAGCATTGCGGGAAAGCCTGAATAGACAATTTTACATAACTAGGCTATCCCAGCTGGCCGAAGCAGTGTCACGTGCATTCCTTCTGTGTGCCAAAAACAACCCCAAGCAAGGCTCAGTGCCTCCACCAGGAATACAACAAACAGGCTTAATGCCGATGGAGAATTTAATAGTGGACTTTACAGAGATGCCTAAGGCGAAAAGTTATAAAGCTCTTCTAGTCTTCACATGTTCAATCACTGGCTGGCCGGAAATCTTCCCAGCTAGAACAGAGAAGGCCCAGGAAGTCGTAAAACGCCTCCTAACAGAAATCATCCCAAGGTTTGGCCTACCAAGATGTATAGGCAGTGACAATGGCCCAGCTTTTGTTGCATCAATAGTGGATGGTGTATGCAAAGCCTTACAAATACAATGGAAACTACATGTGGCCTATAGACCTCAAAGTTCGGGAAAAACAGAAAGGATGAACCGGACTCTTAAGGCACAGTTAGCAAAATTGTGCCAGGAAACTCATTGCAAATGGGTAGACTTGTTGCCTATAGCTTTGTTCAGGATCAGATGTTCACCCACAAAAAGACCGAAACTTTCCCCTTTTGAACTTTTGTATGGGAGACCCCCTCCAATAGCCACAGGAATTACAGCAGACTTAACTCAAGTAGGGGGGCAGATAACCGCAGAGCAAATCCAGGCGCTTTCTTGTATTTTTCTCTCTTTAAACAGGTGGTGTCTCGAGCGTACGCCGATCAGCCTGGCCGAACCAGTCCATCCTTTCCGCCCAGGAGACCAAGTTTGGGTGAAAGAGTGGAAAAGTGACCCCTTGACACCCCGGTGGAGAGGCCCCTACATGGTCCTGCTGGCCACACCAACAGCGGTCAAGGTAGCAGAGGTAACCCCATGGATTCATCATTCTTGTCTGAAGCGGTCTGAGGGTCATTGGAACTGTGAGCTGAACCCGTCTGACCCTCTGAAGTTGAAGTTCACCAGGAACCCTTGCACCTAGCCCCACCGGAAGTGGGCAGGAGCAAGGCACCGGGACTACAGGTCTGCTCTCACTGCACCTGGAAGCCAGTGAGTCTATGCACACCGGAAGATTTGGGAGCTGCACCAGCGGATGGGAGGACCCCTACCATTTAAAATATCAGTCAATCCCAGATTTCAGCCAGATTTTGCATATAAACCCCTAGTACAAATAACAGTAGCAAGCGCCGATAGGAGGTTGGCATCCCTGGGTGGGGGCATTCTTGATAAGTGGGTGGATTGGTTGACTACATACAGTTATTATATCCCTTTCTTTTTCTGTGAATTCTACATACCAGATTGGGCACAAGCAGGTCCAAGACAATAGTGACACATACCGGGGGAAGAGTACATGCCAGGGGAACCAAGGAGAGCCATACGCAGCTTCTCCTCCCCACCTCCCCAAGGGGCATTTCCCCGCGCCATACTGGTCACTGTAGCCTTTTTCCCTCCACCACCCACAGGTCCCTTCCAGGTAGCAGTTGCAGAGTGTATACAGTGTGAGTTGACCTCTCCAGCCCAACCAGAACCCGGGGACCACTGATAAGTCCACTGGGTGCGGCCGAGTGGGAGGCTATATCTCACCTAAGCTATGTTCTGGTACCTGCTACCTTATATAATTCTTGCAACCTCACTCCTTCTGGTCCTGATCATTCTCTTCTGCATATACAAGAATGAGAATGAAGCTCCTATTAATCTTGATTTGCTTGTGGGTCCAGAGAGGCCCAATGGTAGTGGGTAATGCCTTTATAAAGCATGCTGAACACATGTTCCAAATATATGGAGAAAATGCTACCTTATATTATGAACACCCAAGGAAGGTAGCTGACATGTCCCTTATACCAGGATTGATCAAGGATCCTGACGTTGTTTTGGCAGGCCTACTGTACAATCAAAGTGGCCTCTTTGCAGCCCCACCTTCCGAAATGAATGACACCCCCTACCGATACATCCGATACACCAGAACCACAAAAGGCCTATGTTTTGTTGTCATTCCACTGGAGTATGGAATTCCAAATGGAAGTATTGGCCCCAAGTTAAGTACCACATTGACAAAGGATGGCTGGGAAACTATACCCAATGCACTGATAAATTTTGGCTTTGGGGTTCCTACAATGCCTCCTACCAGGGCAATACTACCTCTTCAGATTTGTACCCATACTTCCCTCAGTATTCGGTTAATTTCACTGGACAAGGATCCATATGTTCTGGCTGGATGATTAAGGATCCTAACCTTTGGTTTTTATATGATGGATTGGCAACAAATTTCCACCCAGGAAATTACCAGTGTGTAGGCGTAGGCGCTTTCACCTTTCCGGTTACAGTGGAGGTCAATCACCAGGTGCCCCACCTCAGAAGCAGACGGAAAAGGGCAGCCCTAGGCGAGCACTGTGAAGATGAAATTTTTCTGTCAAATTCTGTGGGGAGTGTTGGGGGAGGATTTATAGGATTCCTCTCAATGGGCATATACCCAGGAGTAGTTTCTGAGCAAAATCGAGCGGCGCTGTTTGCTCTTACATGCAGGCTGGAGAAAACTATCAATGCCACCACTCGTGTCTTGCGCTCCCTACAGACAGAGGTGGAGGATTTGAACCAATTGACGATGACTCATAGATTAGTTCTTGACTACCTCCTTGCACGCTCGGGCGGTTTTTGCAAAATTGTCCCAAAAGGTCAATGCCAGGTTAAATTCCATGACCTTAACAAGACAATCAAGGACGAATTGCAAAAATTACAGGCCCTTGTAGGTGACAACACTCCCACTCAGAATCCCTGGGAGAAGATGTGGTCGTGGATCCCAGGAGAAGGGTGGGTGCATAGCCTACTGACTGCCTTAGCCATAGGAGGATTTATTTTTCTGTTGCTTCTTTCTGTAATCCCTTGCTGTCTGTCCTTGCTTAGAGGAATGATAAGCTGCAATATTAAGCATCTTACTGACCCCCAGATTCTGGCAATATATCGAGCTCTGCCCCCGGTGCCAGAGGAGCCAGAGGAGGACCAGGAAGACAATGGTTACGAGCGAATGCGTCGGGAACCAGTTCCCCTGCAGGAACAGGTCCCCTTGCAGGAAACAGTGGTTTATTCTGACATCCAGAGTGGTATTCAAGCTCAGGAGTCAGATGAATCTTCTCTCTGAGCTTGAAAAGGGGGGAATAAAGCAAGAAAAGGGGGCCACTCTTATGCTACCCTTATGCTATTCATATAATCAGTTATCAGTAATCAATATATTCATATATGCTGACACATAACAGGGCTTACAGTGATTTTTATAATCCATTTTAAATCAAGGGAAGCTTTGCCTTAGCTAACTGCAAACTGCTTGGAACCGCAAGTCCAGAACCAACCTTTCACCTAGAAAACATCCTTGTACCCTGAACAAAGGGGAAGACATGAATCAGAGACACTGGTACAAAATCCCCCTCAAATGCAGGCTAAAATAATCCACAGAACAGGAAGGGCCAAACCACAAAACTCCCTGTTCTGTCAGAACTAGGGAAAAGGTCAGACTACACATCATTGCAGACAACGGAAAGCAGAAGTTGGGAGTAAAACTCTGCGCTTGGCCAGGAGCCGTGAGCATGGCAAGAAGAAGCGCTAATTCGTCATTTTTCGCTGGCGTGCGTGACTGTCTCATGATTGTCTCATGATCTGTGATTTGCTCAGGTATATAACCTCAGGATTTGTATGCTTCTGGGTCCCAGTCTTTTGGAAAAGATTCCAACTGGGTCCATTATTGCTCAGCAATAAACCCTCACCTTCTTTTTCTCCAAAAAGCTGTGTCTGTCTGATCCTTGTTTCACTCTAAGTGGGTACTACTTTGCTTTCACGTGCTACAGTACAAGGAGTTAGGAACAGGAGAAGAAGAAGAAGCAAGAGGTGCGGAGGCAGGAGCAGGAGCAGCAGCAGGAGTTGGAGATCAAGTGGAACCTGAAGAGGAGGAAGGAGATGATCAGGGAAAGAGTGAAGAGGAAGAAGAAGAAAAAGAGGAAGAGGAAGAAAGGTTATAGAATTTTAATACATTAAAATTAAAAAAGGAGGACAAAATGGCGCTGAAATTATGGACATGGAATATTAATGGGATGAACGAGAGGAAAAAATGCAATAAAGTCGAACAATTTTTAAAGAAGAAAAGTTTGGACATTATATGTTTACAAGAGACACATGTGGCAAGAAGACATAGAAAAGTTCTAATTAATAAAAGATTAGGAAACGAATTTATCTCATCAGATAGAAACAAGAAGAGAGGGGTAGTACTGTATATAAAGAATAAGATTGAAGCTCAGCAAATATTTAAAGATGACGAAGGGAGAATCATAGCAGTCCAGATCAACTGGCAAGGAGAGAAATTAATAATAGTCGGGAATTATGCACCAAATGGAAACAAGACTGATTTTTACAAATACTTGGAAGAAAAACTATTTGATTTTATGGATCAAAAGATAATAATAATGGGAGATGTGAATGGAGTGGTTTCAAGAGATGGACAGATTGAGGGCAACGGGGAAGACTAGAGATGGGAAACTTCCTAAGACTTTTTTTTCTATGATTCAGAACTGTAACCTAATAGACATTTGGAGACTAAGACACCCATTAGAAAAACAGTTCACATTTCATTCTGAACCAAATCAGTCACTGTCAAGAATCGATCAAGTATGGGTCTCTAATGAATTAACACCAAGAATTCTAGAAATTGAAATTCAACCAAAGGTAATCTCGGATCATAATGCAATAAAATTGGAAATAAAGGGATTTGAGGAAAAAACGTTTAGATGGAGAATAAATGAGAACCTTCTCGATGATCAAGAAATTTTAATGAAAGCACACAAAAATTTGACGGACTATTTGGTAAACAATTCTAATAAAGAAACGAAAATGAATATAGTATGGGATGCCAGCAAAGCCGTGATGAGAGGTTTCTTTATTCAGCAGAATTCGATTAAAAATAAATTTAGAGAGAAAGGGAAAAAAGAGATTTTGAAACAAATAATGGAAAATGAGGAAAAATTAATTAAAAAACCAAACAATTTGAAAATAAAACAAAATATAAAGATTCTACAAACACAATTCGCAATGATAATAAATAAAGAAGTGGAATGGAATATTAAAAGAATGAAACAAAGAAATTTCGAATTTGCTAATAAATCAGGAAAATGGTTGGCTTGGCAGATTAAGAAAAGAAAGGAACAGAATACATTTAACAAAATCATCGTTGAGGGAACTGAAATAGATAATCTGAAAGGGATTAGAAAAGGATTCTTGGATTTTTATAGACATTTATATAAAAGAAGAGAGAAGAGCAATATGAAAAAAATAGAAAAATTTTTAAAGGAAAAAGAGGTGCAGAAAATCCCGACTGATAAAAGAGACAGACTGAATGACCCAATAGAAACTGAAGAGATAAAAGAGGCTATAAAGGAATTAAAAAAAGGAAAGACACCAGGACCAGATGGATTTACGGCAAGGTATTTATTATAAAGAGATGAAAAACATCCTACTAGTACCATTGAAAGAAGATATGAATAATATCTTAAAGAAAAAAGAAATTCCTGAAACTTGGAAAGAAGCTTTTATCATGTTTATTTCAAAACAAGACTCTGATCTAACACAAGTAAAAAACTATAGGCTTATTTCGTTGCTAAACAATGATTACAAATTATGTGCAAGTTTTTTAGCTAAGAGGATGAAAAAGTTATTACAAGAAGTGATTCATAAAGATCAAGCTGGTTTTCTACCTGGCAGACAGATGAAAGATAATATAAGAAATATAATTAATATTTTGGAATATCTGACAGCCAGAAATGAAAAACAAGCTATGTTGATATTTGTGGATGCAGAAAAGGCCTTTGATAATATATCTTGGGATTTTATGTTAAAAAATTTAGAAGCTATGGATGTAGGTCAAGAGTTTTTTAATGGTAAAAAAGCTATATATACGGAACAAAGAGCAAAATTGATTGTAAATAATGTGACGACAGAAGATATAAAAATAACTAAAGGTACAAGACAGGGATGTCCTCTTTCACCACTATTATTCATCTTCGTGTTGGAAATCTTTCTGAGATCTATAAGGAAAAGTAAATCAATAAGAGGGGTAACAGTCGGTCATAATGAGTATAAGGTTAAAGCCTTTGCCGATGATCTGGTATTGACTGTGGAAGAACCGTTAAGAAGTGTTAAAGAGGTATTAGAGGAGATAGAACAGTTTGGTCAAGTAGCAGGATTCATACTAAATAAGAAAAAAACTAAAATAATTGCTAAAAACATGGAACAAGGTCTGATAGAAACAATGCAACAACAAACAGGAATAGAAGTGGTTAAGAAGGTTAAATATTTGGGAATTTGGTTAACCCCCCAAAATATTGATCTGTTTCAAAACAACTATACACCAATGTGGAATGGAATTAAAAGGGACCTGGAGGTGTGGGGGAGGATGAAGTTATCATTTTGGGGAAGAATTTCAACGATAAAGATGAGCGTGTTACCAAAGATGCTATTTTTATTTCAGACAATCCCGATAATCAAAGGGGCAATAATATATAAAGAATGGCAAAGAACAATTTCAAGGTATATCTGGCAGGGTAAGAAGCCAAGAATACAGTTTAAGTTGTTAACAGATGCGAAAGAAAGAGGAGGCTTCGCCCTACCAGACCTGAAATTGTATTATGAAGCATCATGCCTCTGTTGGTTGAAGGAGTGGATGAGATTAGAAAATGGAGAATTGTTAGACTTGGAAGGATTTGATAACAGATTTGGTTGGCACGCATGTTTATGGTGTGATAAGAAAAAAATTCACAAAGGCTTTGAAAACCACATCTTCAGAAGATCTCTTATAGAAGTTTGGGATAGGTATAAAAACCTATTAGAACCAAGGATACCACACTGGTTGTCTCCATTAGAGGTGATGAGTGTAAAGAAGATCAATATGAGGGGGAATTGGGTAACATATGGGAACTTGATTGTTAAAGAAGGAGGTAAATGGAAATTGAAACCCTACGAGGAAGTTAAAGAATATGTTAATGATTGGATGCATTATTATCAGGTTAATGAAATGTTTAAAAAAGAACTAAAATAAAAAGGTTATGTTGAAAAAGAATCAAAATTTCAAATAGAGATATTGAATAATGATTTTAAAATTTTATCGAAGATGTATAAATTGCTGCTAGAATGGTATACTAAAGATGAAGAAATTAAATCGGTTATGATTCATTGGGCTAGAGATTTTGGATATAATATACAGTTATGTGAATGGATAAAACTATGGAACGAAAGGTTAAAATTTACAGCCTGTACTGCGTTAAAAGAAAATGTTATGAAAATGGTATATAGATGGTATATAACACCAGTGAAGTTAGCAAGAATGTATAAAGTGTGTAATAAATGTTGGAAATGTAAAGAAAAGGAAGGGACTTTTTATCGTATGTGGTGGGAATGTAAGAAGGTGAAAGGCTTCTGGGAAATGATATATAACGAATTGAAAAAAATGTTGAAATATACATTTGTTAAGAAACCAGAGGCATTTTTGTTAGGAATGGTAGGAAATGAAATAAACAGAAAAGATTATAAGCTTTTTCTATACGCAGTAACAGCGGCAAGAATACTGCTAGCCCAAAAATGGAAATAAGAAGAATTACAGTCGATGGAAGAATGGAGAATGAAGTTAATGGAATACGCAGAACTTGATAAACTAACAGGAAGGATCCGAGGCCTACGAGACCACAGATTCACTTAAGACTGGAGTAAATTTGTAGACTATTTGAAAAGTATTTGCGATGAACAATTAACGTTTGTAGGTTTGCAAGAGGCTCTGTGAAAATAATATCAGAAATATTGTAAAAAAGGGAGGGAGGAGGTTTTTAATAAAAGGCAATATCAGATTAAGAAATGAGGAAGAAGGACTAAAACGGAGGATTTGCAGAAGAGCTGAGGGAACTCCAAAAAAAATGTATTTGTGAAAAATTGTGTTATGTGTTTTTATATTTTTGTATTGTAAAATGAATAAAAAATAATTCAAAAAAAAAATGTAAGGCATGCGCAGCAAACAAAGTGAAAATGGCTGTGAAAGGTAAGGTGTCTAGTAGACAAGCTACAGAACCATACCAGGTTATGCATGTTGATCTAGTTGGTCCTCTATCGCCC